ATGTACATGACAGGCAAAATCTATCCATGCCAGCCCTAGTATGTCATGGAAAATGGAAAGGGCAGGAGAAACACTTAGATGAAAAAAGCAGTAGGACATAGAGAGCAAGCGACCTGGCTAAGACATCCCCTGGTCACCCTACCACAGCACAGCTGCCTAAGGGACACACAGAAAAGACTTCTCCTGGCCAGCTCATGCTTTCCCCTGCCCAGCTCTCCAGCTTTGTGAAGATCCTTAAAATAAAGCCAATATAGATTTTAAAAGTAAAGATATAAAGGGAATATTAATAGCATACAGCAATGGAATCTACCTATACAACTATCAACATCCCCAGGAAGCAAGGAAATAAACACTGACTTATAGCACAGCCATACTTGTGATTAGCTTGTAGATGGAAGTTCCTGTCTTTTGAACAGGTGTATGAAAATAGCAACCTGCTGTTCAGCATTTTAATTCTTCAAAACAAGAGCTAGGTATGCAGAAGAACATAAATACAACAGATGCTTGGTGAAACTCTCGTTCCAGTTCAGTCTTTTCCTTTTGTGCCACCTCATGTAAGTGACTTAACCTTTCTATGCCACACTTCCCTTAAAAAGCTTTCCACCTTGTAAGCTAAAATGATTGCGTACAGACTGGCTATTAATTTAACTGAAGCAGGTGGAAAAGTGGAAACCTATGCTTGTAATCAATTTGAACATACAAATGTCACTTTCATTTTGGAGCAAAGGGTCTACTTTTTCATACACTTTACACATTTTTCAGCACTTTAAAATCTAAAGGTTTAAAAAAATGTTTTTTTTTTCCTTTTAGAATAATGCCTTACTTTCATTCCTGCTTTAATCATAATTTCCGTATCAGTGTATACATTAAAGCAGGAGAAGATATTATGGGGAAAACACCAATAAGATTGGTTCAACCAATGACTCCACTGTAAAATTTTGTCTATCAAAATGCTCAGTTTCCCCAACAAAAGCTCACACATTTGATCAATCAACTGCAGCTTTTTCTTTTATTAATAATTGCATGCTAGCAATATTTAAGTATAAATACATAATTTAAGCTCTACAATTATTTAAAATAAGCAAAATACTCTAGTGATGGCATCACCAAATGGGAGAACGCAGTCAGTGGTATGAGGTGGTGGATGAGGGGCAGGTGAGCATCCTTAGCCGTAACTACAAGCACTGAACAACGTAAGACAGATTTATAAATGTACTGCAAGCCATTTAAAAAGTCTTCTCCCTCTCTCGCCCACACAATATTAATTACCTGCACCAGCTTGTACTAATTCATTTTCCTTACACCTCAGTAAAGGAAGATGGTGTTTGGAATAAGTAGTGTCAAGACACAGTGTAAAGAAGCTTATGGATACTCCAAAATTGCATTTTTGGGACCGGGGAGAGAAAGAATAACACCTATAAGTTATGCTTCCAACCCAATTTCATTCACTGAGTCATGTAAATAAATATCCAGCCAGTTTGGTCCCCATCCCACAGCCTCGGCACAGCAACTCTAATTACTCATCTATAAACAATGCAGACAAGCCATTGCTCAATGCCGCGCTACGCCTCATGGCCACACGCTTTGCGTCCTACCTGGGTAAATATTAAAATGAATATAATCTACTATATTTTAAGGGTAAAGTTATCTGCAAAGCCCAGTGATTCATGAGCTCTCTGAATGTACATAAAGTGCTTTAGTGAAAGCATTTCCTAAGGGCCTGATCCAGTCATGCTTCTCAAACCCTCCGCAGCTGTCTAGACTGGAACAGAAAGGTCATTCAGCCACTGAAGGCCAATCCATCACTCCCATTAAAAAAGAAAATACCTAAACTGCTCCAAAGGTTCAATTTGTGGATCTGATGGGGAGATACTGAAAGAACAGCCAAGGTCCCCGTCCCCAGGGGGGATGAGGGCCAACACAAAGCCCATACCCTCCCTGGGGCTCGTTCTGAGGATCTGAGCAGGAAGCCAGGGGATCCCAAGAAAATTCCTGCCTTGAAGCATATCTCTTGTCATCCTCTTCTTTTTAACATGCTTGTGCTGCAATGCAAGAAGCTGCTGTGCTCTTTCACACCAGGACTTTTCTCCCCTCAGCACTGGGGGGCTCATACATGCAAAATTCAGAGTTTATGTAAGTCCCAAGATAGGAAAAGCCAATGCTCATCCAAAAAGACTCTCCCCCAACCTGTAACTTAAAGATGGAGGATTACCCTTTCTCCAGGTTACATGTGGCCCCTTTGCTGCTCCAACCCCATTGACACATCTGTCATATGAGAGCCTCATGGTGATATTGGAGATGGGTGCTGCTGTCTCCTCCATTGGGAGATGGTGATACCCAGGTCACCATTAGACTGCAGGGAGATGCTCACCAGACGGGGAAGTATACATCCCCCTGCCACCCCTTCACCAACGGTACACTAAGGTGTAAAATATCCCCATACCTGGGGGATTCCCTGCATGCTGCAGACTTGGAAGGTGACTTCAGCCTCATTAAGCTTCAGCAGCAGGGGCTGAAGGAGCCTCCACAGGGGCCAGCTGGGAAAGCCCAACAGGACATTGCACAGTCAATGAGAATGGGGCATTTTCTTAACCTTGAGTGCTGGCAGCTCACTGAACTGGTATGGGTCAGCAGGGAAAGGGGCTGGATATCCCAGCCCCAGCATGCTCCCTCCCTCTCAAAAGTAGGGAAGAGCACAAAGAAGACAGAACAGAGAATGACAGTGCTGCTTGAAAAATGTATTCCAGCTGCTCTCCTTAAACTGCAAGCTACAGCCCAGTTGTTTGTGATCACAAACAGTTTTAAAGAGGCATTTCTGGGGCCCAATAGGACCTGCCGCCTCCAGACGTTTTGGGAAAAATAAAGGGAGGGAAGGAGAAAAGAAAAGGCAACGTCCTCCTGGATCTCATCTTTTCCATTCAGACTTCAACCACCAGAACCATTACCAAATAAAATGTCAACTTTTTTCCCCTGTTCATTAACCTTTGATGCTTATTGTACAGTCAGCTTCAGTGCTCACAGGGGACTCAAGCGGCTCAAATCACAGCATTCATTTTACTCAGGGCTTAGGTACAACTTAAACCACAGTCCAGAAAGGAGGGAGGGGAAGGGAGAGAAAAGGCTATTAGCCCAATCCTGCCTCTTCAGCGCTTTACATGTTTAATAGAGATTGAATTTAGAGAGAGGGAGAACCCCCAACTTAGTAATAATTCCCTTCACAAGTTCTACTATAATTAAAAAATAGAGGCAAGGTCATGACGAGTGCTATTGAAAATAACAGACAGACCTGTAATTATAGCAGGGCCAGCTAAACCAAGGGTTAAAGGTCTCTTAATACTCTGTCAGCATTTCCACTATAACCCCTCAGTTTCAGGGGTTTACAGCTCGCGCATAAATATTTGCTGCAGGCCAAAAATGGCCCTTCGAGGGGTCAGCAAAAGGAGGTAAATTTTGTTTACATATTTATAAAAAATGGCCTGGTCTGCAGAAGCAGCATGTTCCTCACCAGCACCGCCAGTGCAATTCATGGGGATGAGGAGAGAGAGCCAAAAGTATCAACCATGAGAGTGTATGGGGTGGGTGGAGGAGCTGGAAATACATTTTACCCAGAGCAAATGGCTCCAAATCCACAGAAACCCTGTACAGAGGCAATGATCTGCAAATACAGTATATATTATAAAACTGAATCCTTAAATAATAAGGCCGTATTCCTACCATGAATTATACAGATAATCACTCCCACTGTTCAGCCAAGCATGCACATAAGTCTTTGGAAGATGAAAACCTACAGCCTTGCTAGCATATTGGTTTAACTTAAATCAGTACTTTAATTGATTTATTTAAGCCAGTGCCAAACCTGGTGTGATTCCCTGATTTCTGCCGAAGAGTAGCTTATTTCAGTTTAGTTTAAAAAAGCATCTCTCAATTTTTTTCCAAAGCATTCCTTCCTCCCCTTTTCCTATCTATTTACGTGACCCTGAGCTGACATCAGTTCAGTGCTTAACAATTAGAAGAGGTAAACCAGCTCTGACCTGTTCCAGGGCTCCTTTCCTTGACTGACTGAGACATTACCAGTGGCCCATAGTTGGAATAACCACTTGCACCCCTTTAATATGGCTGCTTACAGGTTGAGGAACCTAAGCCGCTGCTGCCATCCCTGCAAACTCTAATTTCTTTTCTTTAAAAGTCTTCTAAAAGACTTCTGCTCCTCAAGAAAAAAAATCCCAAACAAACAAGTGCTTCACAGACGCAAATTAACATCATTCAGAAGGCTCAGAAAACCACACAAGCAAACAAAGAGTCCTGAATTATGGAAAAAAAACCACAACACAAACCCTTCTTTCAGACTGGCACACTATACAAGCCAGCCTCCTGACTTCTGGGAGGTTATCTCACCATTTTCCAATGCCTGCCATTAGCAATCAAAATTAAGACAGTCTGATTTGCAGCGAGAGTTTCTCCGTTGCCGGCTGTCCAACTGGACTGCCTGTCTCACGTGGCCACGCATCACCCCGGCTCTTCAGTTGTGCCTTCAGGCTGAGTTAAAGGGAATGGTGGCAAAAAAGTGAGAGCACTGAATGATCTTAGATCTTGTGAAATTCATTTACGAGAGCTTTTTGATGGTTCAAAAGTGAAGAGAGAGAAAAACTGAGCTAAAATGATTAACCAGGCAAACCCTTCCAGAAATTATTATTTTCACGTGTACCTAAAAATGTCACAAAATAATACATTTCTTTTCCTCACTAACTTCAGCATATTTTTCAGTGTGATCCTAGAGGAGCTTGAGTTTCTTTCAAGTGAAATTATATTGAGGATATATAACTTTTTTTTTTAAGTTTCTACAAAATATTTATTGTGTAAGACCCCGAAGATAAAAAAGATGCAACTGTTTCTCTTGGTTTGTTTCGAGGTTATTTACTTAGGACTAAGCACCTCATTTTTCTTGTGTACAAAAAGTAATTATGCAGTCAAAAGAATTATGGCCCACATACTTCAAAACATATGAAAAATGTAAAACTTTATTACATACATTAATTTCTAACAAAGGACGTCTCCAGCATCAGTGTAACTGGTATAAGGCGGATAACTGATGTATGGTATATTCGTTGATGTTCCTCCCAAATGGGTTTTATAAAGGCAAACAAACAAATAAACAATTTCTTTCGTTATGTCTCTCTCTCTAGTATAAATTTCATCAGCCTCGTACAGGGGACTGAAGGCTTAGGGGAGGGGGTTGGCTGTGGATTTATTATTTTATATTTTTATTAAGCTAAAATATTCTGCTCAAGCAATCTGTTCACCACGCTTTCCTTTTATTATCCTTCCAACTCCTGCACTTCTCAAACCAGGCAACACCAGCTCCTGCTCCTACTGGGCTAAACCCAGCTTCCCTGCCATGAGCAGCTCCACTGGATCCCCACTTTAGGGAGTGCTGCAGAAGCAGGATTGCTCCCGATATCCCGGTCAAGCAGCTTTTTATGTGCATTTGAAGCGGAGGTCTGTGGAGTACTGTTATTTTTCTCCTCCCTTTCCCCCCTACTTGCACTTCTGTGAGTGGGGCAAGCTCACTCCTACTAAATCAGCTGGGCTGAGAGGCCAAGGCAGGAGTTGTAAAACCAAAGTTCACAGCATCCTTATCTTTAGCTGAGCCACTTTAACTTTCTAACTATCCATCTGGGTACCATATCCAAGAGGAAAAGGATGGCCATTTAAAATGTCAAGAATAATGGCAATCCGTTCTCCTCAGCGCCTCTCTTGAAGAAACAAAACAAAACTGAAGTGCAGAAGACAGATTCAAGGTAGTCTTCTCATTTTAAGAGAATGAAAAAAGTGAAACCTGATTTTTTACTATTAAGACAATGACCTAATCAGAGATCTAATTTCCTTCCAATACATGTGTTTGTTCCTGCCATTTCAATGCAGTATCTATATATAAAGATGCAAATTTTTCCTGATTAGGCAACCCTTTGGCTCCATTGATAGATGTGACATAATACCAGAAGTCTAGAGGAAAAAGGATTCATGACATCCAACAAATAATACGCCCAACTAAATACTGGAAGCTTCTATTTCAGTCATGCAGAGTTACCAAACTAATCCAACCAAACACAAACTCCCACACCCTGATGGAAGCACAACCCTCACTCAGCACAGATGATTTCAGTATTTTACAGTGCCTTGTCAGGGTTTAAGGACTTTAAGAAGAGGCTTGGCAGCTTCTCTTAGAGAAGGCAGCTCTGCTAATGTCACACTTCTGGTCTGCTTTTGGCATGTCTGGGCACCAAATGGGAAAGCTGCTGGGATGGTGTTGCTAAGGCTTATGATCTAACATTAATAATGATGAGGCAGTTCATTTGTGTCTCAGTTCTCATTTATAGGGCCTGGGCTCAGCCAGGTGTATGGAAGTCTTCAAAAAGCACAGAAATCCCCAAATAAAGTTCTGGGTTTAACCTCTTTAAATTTGGCGGAAGTTTGAACTTGGTGTAACCTTGAGGCCCATCTTTAACTGAAGTGCAGTATTTTGGGAACTCGGGACAAAGGGGAAGGAAAGACCTATTTCAAGTTATACCTAAACCCATGAGAATCAAAGCAACCCAGACAGCTGACAGCTTTAGAGCCAGTGAGCCTCTCCCAGCCCCTGAGTTTTCTTAGGCTACTTGCTACCTTTAAAATCTGAAGCCACAAGTCTCTCTATTCTGTTGCACCTTCATAAGTTCTCTCTCCCTCCTCCCAATACCCATGAAAGAGCTTTCAGTGTTTCAAACGTACTCATCACAGGTATCAGGAGAAAAGTGGACCAGTGCCAACTCTCAATGGCTTGCTTGTTTTGGGGCTGAAATCTATCCACCTCCATTTCAGGCGTCCATCGGCTGAGCCACCATTTGACATGCCTGGCCCCAACAATCACAGGGGCTTGGCGGGTTAAAAATGCTAGGATTTCATTTTATTGCAGGGATATTATTCATTCTTGGGAAGGTTCAAAAGTACATGCGTCAACTTATGTCATCAGGGTCAAACAAAGTGGCATGCAGAATCATAGCCAGATTGCATCGGTAGAGGGGTCTGGAGGCAGAGCCAAAGAGTAAGGAGAAAGAAAAATGTTTTTTAGGATGTACTCTGGATCACTTCATCCTTCGGCAAGGGGAGAAGAGGAGGAGGTAAAGGATCCCCTCTAAGCACGTTGCCCTGAACAGCATGAACTGAAATCAAGTTGTGCAGATTTCACTAAGATTTCCACTGCTCCTTGCCCAGCGACATGCCTATGGGGTAAGACCATCAAACAACAATGCCTCCTCAATTGCCAAAACGTGCCTCCAACATATACCAGCAAGCCCACAAGTACGTACACACTCGCACAATAATAGCATTAGATGCCATTAACAGGCTTTAGCCTTGTTTCTTTTCAGTGGAAAAACTATTTGACATCCCTCAAGCCCAGGCTCAGCACTGCTTGACCCTTTCCCTTCCTTGCCTACATTAAAAGAACAACTAAATAGCTGCACACAGAGTGAGCCAGCCCCTCCTCGCTCCAGGTGTCTGTATTTTACTTAGGGCCCCAAGCTTGATTCAGCTCATACAGTTTCTGACAAGCTTCAGCTGGCCCTCGTCACCAGACAGGCAGATCAATTAACAGAGGGATTTTTCTTCCCTAGCTCTCTTCCTGGACCTTTAACCCCTTGTGTGTCCTAATGCTCTATGAAAGAAGGGCAGAAAGCAAGTGCTGGAGAAAAAGAATTGCCATTTAAAGCTTTGCTTTTTGCCTCCAAAACCCCCCATGCTTTTGCTTTTTCTACCCATCTCCGAACCTCACCTTTCCGGAAAGGCACTTCTGCTTGATCAAAACTCTTAATTTTTTTCCCATCAGAACTGAAAATTTTAAAATTTCCTTTCTCTCTTTTTTTTTTTTTTAAAAACTCTTTATATTTTGTTAGCAAAAGGGATGAAGTTTAATGTTTTCATTGGGGTGGAGAATTCTTTTCCACTTGTTCATTTTTCTTTCTGTTTTTCCACTGCACCAATTTTTCCAAATTGCCACATGGAAAGGATAAATTCTGGCTAAAGAGTCTAAACCCAAGTCTGTAGCTGACGCTGTGCAAGGTTTCTTGAAAAGTTATCAGAATACAAATGACATTTCATGGATGGGAAGGAATGAAAAAGGGGTAGAAGAGACCAAGGCAAAAAAAGTGTATGTTCAAAACCTACAAAACAGAAAACAAACAAAACCAATTCAAACTGGAAAAAAACCCCACAGATGGTTACAAATTGCGCTATGAATGAGAAACAACGTCAACACTGACCATTTTCGTTTGCAATTTAATTACACCTCCATTCGTCTTTGGTGAGAGTGTACAAGACAGCGTGTCAATGGCATGAGAAGCTCCTGCAGCAACAGCAAAATATAATAAATAAATTTAATTGCTAGTGATAATAATCAGACATTTCTGCGAAAAACAGTTCCCAGAACTACTGAAAACTATTAAGGAAAATAAATGTTATGGCTACTACAGGGAAATATATATTTATATGTATTAAATAGTGATAATTAAACTGTTGAGCAGTTTTTATTCTTTTTACTTTTTGAACACAAAACCCCAACCCATCCCAAACCCCTTATACAACTCCTTATGTTGTTACTCGTACAAGTGGATTCTGCCCATCGCTTTACTACCAGTGTAGTGCCGCAGCAATAATGACAATGATAATTAACGATAAATAATAAACACCACACAACCTGTCAATCTCAGAATTGTACAGCAGCAATGCTGTACAAAGCAACACATCTAAAAGTAAAGACACAAATGCTGCTCTTCCTATAAATAGCCTTCACCTGGTGAAATACACCTCAGCATTAGCACACATCATTTTATCAGGCAGACCAGAGTTTTAACACTTCCTTGGTAGACGTGATAGTTTCCCAGTATCTCTTCTCTGAACCCACGTATTAGGTACTTTCTCAGGCCAGTATAGCAAGAAAAACAAGGATGAAAAATCCCTCACTGAAGTGGGCATGACAGATGTGGAGTGCAGGGCAGAGTTGAGGGTATCGCCTCTTCTCTGTGGTTTATAGTGCACGGTTTTCTTAGCAAGGAAAGAGGGGAAGGGCAGCTGGTTATCTTTCACTCTATACAGGGAATCCTTATCAAGGATTTGGGAACTGAGCATTACTTCTTGGATGGATGGGTGCCGTTTAATGTTTTCAATGCTTGTTGGAAAACACGAAGTTGCTGCTGACACAGATGGTGGTAAATAATGACGGCAGGTCACTGATGCACGAAGGAAACAATAAGCTAGGGGAAGTGTAAAATGATAACTCTGGGTAAACAGATTGCAGGGAATAGTTACAGGAGGATGGTCTCCTAGAAAGAAATGGCTCCAGAAAGAATATGGCAGGATGGTGGATATTCAGCTACACATTAGCTCTGTAGCTGGAAGGGTAACTTCAGTCCTTAGGATATGTAAACAGGGGGATATAGCCTAGAAGCCCAAGACAGTATTATCTTTGTCTGTGGCACTAGTGTGACCACTAATGGAATAGTGAATCGAGTTCTGGTGCCTATGTTTCAAGAGGTTGTTGATAAATTAGAGAGAAGAGCCAAGGGAATGGCTAAAGGACTAGAAAACACTGTGAGGATTAGAAAACAATTGTGAGAGGCTCAAGAAGCTCAGACTGTTTAGCTTAATAGAGAAAAGGTTAAGGAGTGACTTGACCACAGTATACAAGAACCTTCACAGGAAACAGAAATTTGATGGAGAGCTCTTCAGTTTAACAAAGACGTACGTAAAACAAGATCTAATGTCTGGAGGTCGAAGCTAGATGAATTCATGCCAGAAATTAAGGGGAATTTTTTAACTGTGAGAGCACTTAGCAATGGGAGCAGTTTACTGAATAGTGTGGTGGCTTCACCATCATGATATTCTAACATCAGATTTGGAAAGTCTGTTGGAAGATACAGCATCATGTAAAACTGTCCAGGAGTTCTGTGGCAGAAAGGCAAACTAGGTAATGGCACGGCTTATTTTGCCTTTAGCATCTAACAATTTATAATCTACCCATTATGTCTAAATATTCACAGCTACCTGCACCAATGTGTAACATCGTGTCTGTTGTTAAAAAAGCCCACTTTTAGTCTGTTCATGCTCTTCGACTATTACCAGAGAATACAGAACATGACTCTTACATGATGCTGAAAACTTTCTAATATACTTCTTGCTTCTTTCAGAGCAAGCCCGGTTTGACGCTGTTAAAAACAATGACCTTCCTTTTTTAGCAGTATACTGTGTAAGGACAGAAGGCCACTTCTCCCTTTTAGTGAGATGATGCCCAAGTTTCACTTTTTTAATGTCAGCATAGAGCTTGCCACTAATTAATACTGTTGTACTCAAATGGTGCTGGGGGAAAGCGCAATGGGTATAAAATAATACCATGTTTTTGAAGGGATTTTGTAAATGTGCCATCACAAACTTGAAAACCCTCCAAAATGCAGAACTGCATTCAGTCCTTCTCATTGTGGGTTTCATTAAAATACACATCTAATGAGCAAATTAAGGCATTCTTCTACCAAGGTTTCAATAACATTCCTGAGAGCATGCCTCTCATTTTCACTTCTTCAGCCATCCCTTCAACACTTTGTATCGCACAGTCAATTATTGAGGATTGGTATCTTGTTGAATCAACACGTTTTGAAGATAGTGCCCTTTGAAAGTTAAAGCGAGGATGAGCAGTGCAATGGGCTGATCAATCCTATGGCCCAAAACATTTGTCAAATGGGATTTAATGAAAGAGGAGTGTCCTTGCTAACATGTTAAATCCAGCCTGTAATCCCCAGTATAACAAGAAAACAAAGACGTTTCCATCCCCTCTTATATCAGGAATAGAGATAGGATGATGGAATGACGTGAACATAAAATAATTGTACACACAGAAGCTTATGCAAAAAAGGCTTTGTTCGAAAGTGCTAGAAAGCCACTCACCCTGAAACAATGGGGCAAATTAGCATGCATCCAGCCCAAGGGTGCAAGCAGCACACACACGCACTCCCAGTGACGGATGCTTAGCTCTTGCTGGGAGGTCACCACTACGAATCTTTCTTGAGAAGGCAGCATGTCAGATTTCAGACACTTTCCCTGCAAATGGGCTTTTGCAGCTCAAAGGAGGAAGGGGGGGAGCTTTTCGATCCAGATAATAAAGTCCATTTACATGAAAAGATGCCGCTTTCAATGACATGATTAATTTCGGAAATACCTGGCATCTGAATGAAGCAAAGACTTCAAGAGATGACTGATGATGAGAAAAGATAATTAGGCAAATGTCAAGAGTCAGTGTTTTGATTGGTGACTGAGAGGCTGGTCTGACTAGGTTATCGTATACTCATTCCAGATGGAAATGAAAGGTCTTTGTAGGGAGAGCGGGGCAATCCCTTGGTTAAACATAAACTCTGTTTAAGCCTAGACTTCTCCTAGGCTTTCGTCCTGGGAAGCCCTCCTACCACAGCAAGTGTTCTACTTAAAAGGCACTGGACCAAGCTTGCCCCATTTGAATCTTAAATTGTTTTAAACATGAACAATTTATCTTGCATTTTATTACTGCAAGACTAGAGCGGTCTTAGCCTTCCCAAAAGATCTTATGCTGCCTTCTCCCCAGCTCTCCAAAACTGGAAAATAATACAACCCTTCTGCAGAGAGAGAGCAAAAAATAGACTCCTTCCCAAATGTGCCCAAACATCTCTCCTCAGCTCCTCATCAAATGCTCGGGGTAGTGACTGCCATTGAATGCTGGTGCCCTCCACAGGACAGAAAAAAAATGAAGAGGATGCTGGCACCCCAGCATGGTGTACTCTCACAGGATTGCCCTGGTGAGACTGACGGATTATCTCCCCTTCAGGAAAGGGAGCATTCACAAGGCCCTCTCCCTAATCCATCACTTGCCCCTTCTGCACACACGCTGCTTTTGATTTGTGGGATATGCTGGCTTTGTGCAGGCACATTTAATCCTCAGCAGGAAAACGCCAACGCTCCTAGACCTCACTGGCCTTCCAAACCAGTTTTCAGAGGAGCTCAAAGCACTGCTCGCTTCATCTCCCTATTGTTGTGGTGCAGACCAAGTACCAGGCCTGGTTCATCATCTATTGAACTAGCTGCTGGCAAAGACCTCCTCTGCAAAGGCCAGGCTCCAAAGAGCAGCCGATGAAGCACCAGTCTGATAAGTCATTCCTAATTTGGCTAGCCATCCAACGCTGAGGCTGCTATTAGTTAATCTTCATATAATTTGTTAAAGTAGGCTTTATGAAGTACTGGAAATAATTGTCTCCCTCCCCCCGTCTGAATCCCACGGCCGTGCACCGTTAGGGGTTTAATAACAGACTGTATTGCGCAGTCAGAAACGGTGAAGGTTTTATAGCAGTGCATTAGCCAGAGGTGGATAACCTATCTCTAGAGGCTTGATTGACTGGAAACATATTCTTAGCCTGCTTAAAACTGCTTAGACCGTGTCACGGAGGTCCCCAAAATAAAACGTTCAGTGTATTTAGTGAAACCCTACACCCGAAGTACATGTAAGGGCACTGTAAGATACTAATTAGGTTGTAACATAAAACACCGTAAAAAGCAAACCATGACATAAAAAAAAATGTTTAAGCTCTGGCCAGCTCTTTCATGTTAGTGAAATACATTAAAAATATATTCACAGCAAATATACTGGGGCTTTGAATAAATCTGTTTCTCATAGTAGGCTGTAGCTGGAAATGATGGATATTGCTTATTATGGAGAAATTTCTACTTAACATTGTCCTCAAATATTAGAAACTATCCTTATTTACTTTTCCTTTAAAAAACCATATCTGGCAGCCCTAAGACCAGCAAATGATCATTAGGATGACACCAGTTAAAATATGCATGCCCAGCATTCTTTTCCCCAGTCTTTTTTCATAGGAAATGTGAGGAGAAGGATGATACCAGATGAAAATAATGATTCTGCATGATGGCATATCAAATTTATATAACCATAATAATTTCAGAAAAGTAACATACCATAGAATTTCCCTCCTGAACTTTAAAAGTGCTGTTCAAATACTTTTCATGTTCAGTAGCAGAAAGTTGGAGTTTCAAGGTGAAAATCTTCAGTTCTATCTCATAAAATCACAAGCTACAAAAGCAATGTGTTATTTCTTTTCCAGCACCTGTAAATTCTGAGATTCTTAGTATTTTACTTTTTAAGCATTAGCTGTCAGTGAAAGAATCTTCTCCACTCTTATGCATGCTCCTTCTGTTATCTACTGCCACTCAGCTATACCACATTGTATAAACTAGAAACACTACCTCCTTTACAATGTTGGAGCTAGTGTAACTTTTAAACATTTAAGAATATAATTATTTACCTGCATTATAAATATTAACTATTAACATAAAACATGTGTGAAGTACTGAATGAAGGAGAACTGAGCTCTGTTCAAATATAAACTTAAATTTACCAAAGTGCACACATATAGTTTTCTAGAAAGAAAATCTAGGTGACATTGGTTTCAATGCCTTTATAAACATCTCTAATGGTACATATATACGTATCTATATGTAATTTGCATTGTACCA